GCCTTCAAGAGATCAACATTTGATATACTGTATTTTTATTTATTGTTACACAAACATTTGGCCGATGGTATCGGACTTGCTTTTCACATGGCAGATATATTGACTGGGCTTGCACTGCAGCAGTGTGATGCTGAAATAATGGACTGTTCTGTGATCGTGTCAGCCTTAATAAACATTTGGTATAACTTTTATGTTTCATTTTTCCCTGTTGTTATTTTCTCCCAAAAGAAACTCCGATTGCAGCATTTGGAGCAAACACAAGGAATGCTTTGGATTTGATTTGATTCCTTTTTCTCTGCATGACAGGAAAGGAGAGAGTGGCGGGTGACATGCAGTCAAGGGCCGAGGTCGGATTCAAACCCACCACCACTGTGATGGAGGCTATAGTCCTATGTATAAGGGGGCGCAACATAACCGGTAGTCTATCAGCCAATCCAGTAGGAATCAATACTTAACAAAAATAGATATAAAACTCAAAATAAGCTCTTGTACGGATTAGTCAAAACGAATCCTCTCACCACTGACGACAGACTTTACATTTCTTTCACTGACAGTTTGTGTATTTGTTAGTTTGACGAGCAGGTGACCTCTGTGGCCGTCTGATCCTTCTCCCATCACTCCTGTAGATCTTCCTTCCCCTCTCAGCGTGTACAGTGCAGAACATCCTGCTATGTTGGCATTTGTGAAGTGTGTGATCTGCAGCTGATGGATGGTATCCTTCAGTAGAGAAAACATATCGCTCCACGTATCTTCAAAGCCTCACTCACTGTTCAGAGCAGGCTTTATGTTGTCCCAGAGCGCCAACATTTGACAGCAGTCATCACCGCTGAAAGTACATCTCCATTGCTTTCTTAATCATCCTTCTTATTCCAGCTTTGAACTATTGATTTGTGGTCCTTTTTTGCATAGGATTGAGCCAGCACTGCGGACTATAACTTAGATTATGTAACACGTGTGACACAACGTGCACATTCCAAATCTGATTTATATTCACAGAGTTCCTAAAAAGTTTTGAATTAGTTTTTGATATAGAAAACAGATAAACAATTACAAATGTCATAAAGACGACGCAGCACAAATTTTTAAAATTGATTCTCGTGTATGATCTATGACTTTGAGATCATTAACGGTCAAATATTTGAGTGAAAAACATATGCTTGTGAATGGGTTGAACATCTGTATGTCATTGGTGACAGGATTGCATAAGGATATCAGATATTGCTATTAATCAAAAATGGTTTTCCTAGAAGTGGAGTGTCAAGGAAAAACGAATAGCTCAGTTGCGATGGCCGTGCATGACCTCATGCTGTGTGTCTACTAAGGTTGTCCTTACTTTGATCCTTTTTCGATACCACATGTTTTATAACGATACAATCTGTTATTTTAATGATCGATAGTATATAAGCCAAAGCTTTAAAAAAACTTTAGGACTTCAGTCATAAATTAACCAAAAGCTACCGTGAGCTGAAGAGTGCACTGACTAGAACAGTTTTGGGACCAATTTAGATAGCGTGCAGGAAGTTTTTGGTACACCTGCCTGATGAAGGTCTAGTACAGAAACGTTGCAAATAAATGTTTATTTTCAAGTTAGACAGTGTGCAGAAGTGTACCTGTAAGGTTTTGGATGGACACTACACTCCGAACGACCTTTCCTGATTTTACTACTTTTAATTTTTGGTATTAAAAAGGAAGACATTTTACAATATTGGTTGCCTAACAATTACAGAATATCCCCCCCGAGGAATAATTAAATATTTCTGTATTGTTGTTGCCTTGGTACCAAGACAGGTATCGATTTCATTTGATTTTACAAGAGTAGTATTGAAGTTTAAACTCCTGTTATCATGACACCCTTAATGTCTACAGTGAATCAGCTCACAACAAGTTCAGACTTCAGACCCCGAAGGTGGTCAGGAACCTTTAGGCTCGTGTGGATCAGCTTCGGCCTCGGCTGACAGAGGTTGAAGGTTGCAGAGATGGAATGTGCCTGATTACAGATGTTCGCTTGCTTCAAAATCCCACTTTTGCTATCATCTTGCAAGAAAATCTGTGATTAATAAATTTCACTGCACGTTTTTAGTGGAGGAGTGTCATGGCTAGGGGATTACACAGTCCAATAGTTTTGCAAGGCAGTTGATGAAGAGCGCTGTGGTTGCTGATGGAGCCTGACCCTGACCCTCTTAAGTTTTAAGTAGCTATTTCAGCAGCCTGAGGGATGGGCCCAGACAGCTTAGCTATTGTTGATTAAGGTCATTGAGCAGGAGGTCATGGTGAAAGAAGACTTCTTGAAAGTAAAAGAGCTCGTCAAATGAGCCGTCAAACTGCTTGATACAAGGAAGGTTCCAAAACTTTTTTATATGCTGAAAAAACACAAGTGCAACACATGCTTTAGTCAATGATTGTGTTGGTGCTTACTTGGCTGTCTTCTTGGAGGAATCCTTTGATCTATGGGCTCCACATACACCTGGGACAGAAAAGAAAAGAAAAAGCAACAATCACATGTCCGTTCAGTCGTTGAACGTTTGAGTCATTCTCAGCTATTTAAATTCCCTTTCCCAGCAAAGACATCTGCTTACTGGTAAAAGATGATTTCTCCTGCATAAAACAGCTTTAGTACATGGGGAAAAAAAATTTGGACTAAAGTTGCATCAAATGTGGTTTTTATCACCGCTTGGCAAAACGTTGTTTCCCAGATTCCTGCTATTAGTATACTTTAAAAAAATACTTTGACTTTACGACCACCTAGAAATCGTGTAGTATTTGTGAGGCTTTTAAGGCCTTTGAAGGAACAGCTCAGTTTTTTGAAGTGGGGTTGTATGAGGTTCTGACTAGACTGACAGGATCCGTTTCACAACATTAAAAGAGACCAAAACATCTATAAATATGATTCTGCTGTACTTTGCAGGGGGCACGGATCAGCTGTTCAGGTCAGCAGGCTTCGTTTGAGACCACCAAACTAAAGAAAGTGCAATTTACAGCTTTCTATGAAACACTGTAACTTTGGATACAAAAGGTTTTCTACATGGACTGAAGAGGGGAGAGGAAAATCTTCTGCAGAAGGACTCAACAGGTCTGAAAGAGAGAGGAGGGAAACTTCTGCGGAAACTGGAGAGAGTTACCTGGTGGCTCAGGTGTATAAACTGTGAGCTCATGTCAATGAACGAGGGGATAAGGGGACCGAGCTGAGCAGCATCTCCTGTGGCTTATAAACTTACTATCGACTTCAACTTCCACTGCTGAAAAGATCCTTATGTAACCCCACTTGGAAAAAAGACTGAGCTCCTCCATTGAGGGGGATTTAAGGTTGCACTTGGTTTGAAGTGGAATTAAATAGATTGCGAATGGTTTAATACACGCTCTGTTGCCACACTTCCTGTATTTATGAAAATTAGGGCTGCTTGATTTTCCCTTAACATTATGTAATCTCCTTTTAGTAGCAACAGATATGAATATGTATGACAAACCTCAATCCAAAGTCTAAATGGAGGGATTGCAATTGCTGCTGATTGGCTGTCCGAGTGTTGAGGTAATGCTCCCTGACCGCTGTACTGGCTGATAGATGCAGATGAGATAATCCTCCCCTCTGCTGATAACTACTTCTTGTGTCCTATTTTTATTGTGTCTAAGTGCTTGTATGTGTGTCGTGGCAGTGTGTGTGTGTTTGAGTACTGGGAAGATTAAATGGGCGTGCAGGATGTGGGTTGCTGTAAGTTTATTGATGTGTGGGTGCTTTATTAATCTGCAAACAGTCGACTCATCATGACCGCCGCTGGCAGGAGCTTTAAGCCCTTATTATTGTCAAAAACTAAGTTGCACAACAAAGTTTATGAAGGCAGCCTCATGTTTTATTTTGTTGTTTTTTAATAAAACGTTTCAGGTAAGGAAAATCCATATCTCTATGAAAACAAACTATGGATCTTGACCTCTGGGTTGCATGTACTCTTAAACAATAATAATAATAACAATAATAATAATAATAACTTTATTTATATAGCACATTTTAAAAACACAGGTTTACAAAGTGCTTTGACATACAGCAAAAGGCTAAAGGAAGCAGCTGTGGTGTTATGCAACTTGCTCCCCTAAATAGAAAGCCATAAAAAGATGAGAAATGTGTGACACTGTTCCTGGGATATATCACCCACATGAGTAAAACCACCTGCAACCTTCAGGGCTGAAAATTAAAGCCAACATAGAAGTGCCAAAAAACTGCAGTTCCCCAAGTGGCCACTTGAGGTTGGGTCCAAAAGGGAATCAATCCACACACAGCTCCATGTGAAAACACTCAAGTTGAAATCAGAATAACTCACAAGTTTGAATTACTTCAAGGGACAAGGATGTTCCTCGCAACTCATTTCCCACCAAAAAAAATGTAATCCAGTATAGTCGACTAGTTTAAAGGGAAGAAAACAGTCAGAAGTCAGGACAATGTATTTTACATGGCTTAAACACTGTTCAAGCCATACTGAGTGTTGCCGTTTGCTTGCTATTAACACAGGTCATCACTTCTTTCAATAAAGAAATTAGATGACTATTTCAAATGTCGCTGAAAAGTGTGGCACTTTACGACATGCATTTGCCAACCATTGCCTGCACTGCTCTGACACCATGCCATCTCTCCACTGTAGTGGTTTACATTAGAGCAAGCAGGCCCATTAACCGGAGCTACGGTGGCAGATGGCTAAGTTACAGCTTTGACATAACATTTAACCAGCATTGTAGACTTACATTAGTTTTATGAGTGCAACAGAAGGGTCATTCTGGGAACCGTGTATTGCTAATAAATTATCCCTGCCTGTTGACCATTAAGTTATGATAACTTGATGTTTTCTAGCCCCTCTCTCCTATTCCGCTCCAACATCTCATCAAAGCATTGTGACTTACTTATTGCACCAAGAAACAAGATAGGGACTGCAAAAATGTCAAACGCAATTGCTGCCTCCATTTTTACATTCTGCGAGTTACAGTCTAATGCTAACACGTTGTTATTTCTCCCCTAGCTGCTGACTGGGACCCTGGATGGAAATCTGCGACTGTTTCAGCCCAGCAGTGGGGCGAGTATTTCTCATGACACAAGTGCTGCTGTGTAGAGCATCTCCAACATGACTGCTTAATCACACCAGGCTCCAGCACAGACCATGCAGGTTTCATTAAAGCAGTTCCAACCCCACGGCTAGGATTTTTACTGGGAGAGGAAAACATGAAAGGTTTTGTTTTGAGTTGTTGGTTAAAAGAAGATCAAAAATAGATACAAGTTTATGGAGGGTTTGTTTTTCTTGGTTTATGTGCTTATTGTGTTCCCCTACTTCTTTGTTTCAAAATGTTCAGAGGAGACACCCATCTGAGCTCACTCCTCTCTGTTAAACTTCCAGTATGTACATCATTGGAACACGATTCAAAGAGATGTCAGTTTGATTGAACATCTTTTCAATTAACCACATTATTGTAATTATTTAAACAATTACAGTCAAGATGCACATTACACAAGACAATTTGAGCAGCTATTATTCCTATCTGTTCCTCCACACTCTTAATGGTCGGATTTTGTTTGTTCAGTTCTTGTAACAGACGTGCGTTTATTTCAATGGTCGTTGCCGCAATTTAACAGATCAGCACACAGCCATGACATCAGCTGGGTGCAACCTCTTTAGCTGCCAGACTAACAGATGCAACTACTGTTCATACTGACACACCCGTCTACATTGTTTGTGCTGTACATTTACTCTTCTCTGCCTTAGTCTCAACAAAAAGCAAGCAACACTCATCTGTTATATAAAAAAAGAAGGATTCTGATGGTTAGGTTTAGGATTTAACAGGTCTACATAGCTGCTAATGTGTATGCCATGTGTAAATAAACTGGTGCAGCATGTTATATGTGACCTACAGTTCTTGTAAAGTGTCAGAGTGTTTTCTACATACTGTGTAAGCAAATGTTCTACTTGTGTGTTTAAGTATATTAGGTGTGCCTCAAAATTCTACTCTGGGCCTACTTGTGTTTTTCATTTTTATTTATTTTACATGTTATACTTTATTCTTTCATAGATTATCTATAAACTTCCAGAGATGTACCAATCGACCAGCTGGTGACCTGACACTGATCAGCTGTAATCAGTCCTCTCAAATAAAAATGATTCTGTGCCGATCTCAGATCAACATACAAGGTACAAGTTTCATGCCATGTGCACAGCGACACTAACGCGACAACCACCAATACACACACTAACATATCGGCAGAGTGGACGTGAGGTGCCCATCAGCAGAGGTGAAAGAGTGATGACATACAGGAGGATAAACAAAGACTGTTTCCTGGTACTTGCTCCTCTTGTCCAAAAGTACCTCTGACAGTTTTTGTATCGCATTCACACTGTCACTGCACTCACTCTCTCTCTCTCTCCTCAGGGCTGGGAGAGCACAGTATGTTAAAGCATTTATAATGTCTGGCATTCTTCGGTTGAGGTAATAAAACTTCAGCGTGTAATTAAAACATTATACCTGCCAAGAGACTTACCACTTTTCAGGAAATATTATGGATTCATATTGATAATAAACCTCGACCTCGGCCCTTTGCAGCTTGACATCACCCTTCCTCCTCCTCCCCATATTTCCTGTCTCTCTTCAGCTGTCATATCCTTTGAAGGCAAAAATGCAATATTGGTAGATTAATGCTAATTAAATGCTTAAACAGCCAGGCCGTTATTTAAGCCTGCTTGTCACAGAATGTACAATTATATGCAATACTTACAACACAAGTAACATTCATTTTTGTTCTACCAATCATCAAGAAGAAAACAATTTCCAATTACAATGGAACTGCATGACACTGCACTGAATCTGCTTTTTGGTTTAACGTTACACTTTTTCTTTCCAAGTTATTTTTTGTATAATTCTACAAAAGATCTGAGAATACTGCACCTGCTAACCCCCTTTTTTTCATTTTCTATTTAAAAATCAGGGCACATATTTTCACTCATACGCTTACTATTTCCTACTTTGCTGACATGTTGCCCTAGACTGTCTGAAGAACGGCTGAAGGAAAATTAGTTTGTATCTGTAACGGATTTAAATGTTAAGTGTCACTCACCCCCTCTCCATTTTGAATATAAATTGTATTTGACTTATTAACTGACGCTGACAGTGATGACTGAAAGAAACAACCTACTGATGGGCTCCATGATCTTAAATCCCTCAGACTGAGAGGATGACTCTGACTTGTCACCTGTCCAATGGTCTGGACTGGATTTAGTTTTTTGGACAGTCAGCTTTAATTGATAGAGACAGATTACTTCTGATGATTGTTCTGCCCAGCCTGGCCTCAGTTTGGCACATGAAATAACAGCAACATGGTTCCTCATGACAGAAACTGATAGAGCATAGCTCTGGCTGCTAGAAGTTATGGGGTGATTATATATGTTTGTTTGTTAATGCTTTTTATGCCACAGATATAAGGTATGCACTGGCAAAGTGTAGTCTTCCCTGTCAGGGTGAGCTTTAGTGTTCCTACAAGCACCAGAGACGTTTTACTGGAACAAAACATAATAAATTGTCCTAAAGTAAATTTATGTAGCTATGTTCTCTCCATTATATTGTGCTGGAATGTGTGTGTGTGTGTGTGTGTGTGTGTGTGTGTGTGTGTGTGTGTGTGTGTGTGTGTGTGTGTGTGTGTGTGTGTGTGTGTGTGTGTGTGTGTGTGTGTGTGTGTGTGTGTGTGTGTGTGTGTGTGTGTGAGAGAGAATGTGTGTTTTGGGAGTATCTTCTCCTGAATGAATTAACCTGCTACTCCAAGATTCAGAGTGTACACGTCCCCAAAACTAATATGATATATCGATGTACGAGCACATTCCTCGTCTGTGTGAGGTCGTTTTTGGTGAACTCCCTGCATTGATCTCACCAGTAAAGAATGACGGGCTTATACTTGCAAATAAAAGGATTTTAAGTGCAGCCGCACCCGAACATCATAACGCAATCTGGCCCAAAGTTTGATATCTCCGAAAACTATGTCATTCGATTTGAAAGGGAAGAACTCAGCCTGTATCAATATGTTCAGATAAATAAGACACTGGATACAGAAATGACAGCACTGATCAGAGCAGAATGTCACACAGGGGAAGATACAGAGCAATCTCACAATGTCAAAATTCATTTTTGCATCACAGCATCATCTCAAAACTCAAATATACTTTGTAGACACCTGCAACATTTCCCTTGAAGTGTTTTGGTTGTTCACTCACTCCCTTCAGGCCTTCACTCTCTCATGATCACATCATATATATAAAAAAAAGATATACATCATGAAACATGTGCAGCCTAATGACTCCCAGAAGAGATCTGAGTATCTCTGTTCTTTTGTTTTCATGAACTCGGTGCAGCTCAAAGTCATGGGAGGGGAATATTTGTGCACACATCAAAAACTGCGGTCATATAGCTGGAACTCCTGCGAGTCTTTAAAAGCTTTCCTCAATATTACATACTGCTCTAGGAATTGTTAGAGAAGAAAATAAGTAAGAGTATCAGTTTGTTTGTTTGGCTGTATAATACATACTGGATTAAAGCTTTCAACGTCTGCTATAAACACAGAGTGTAAATAAAAGGCCATTAGACATGGAGCATCAGGAACACAAAGCGATGGGTGTGACTGTTGCTGGTTTTATTTCATGTGTTTTGTAGTGAAAGTCAACTATGGCAGAATGGTCCTAAAGACTTGTTTTGCCTTTTAAAAAATTCAAAATAGAAAAACCTTTGCACATATATTTCATCAGACAGGTGCGCAGGAGAGCAATGTGTCCATCAAAACTTAAAGGTAAACTCCCGCACATCGTCTAACTTGCAAACTAACGTTTCTGTACTAGACCTCCATCAGGCAAACCCGACAACACACAGAACACTACAGAAAACACACCACTTCAAAGCAAGTTTGACATATTTTTAAAAAGTAAAATAAATATATAGTTTGCGAGCAATCGATTATTTGTTTGTGTACTTGACGGACCCAACTTCAAATGAAGAGCTGGGCCTTTACAGAAAGAGTCAGTCTAAAATTACAACAGTTTAGTTCTGCAGCGAGCAGGTGAGTTATTCCGCATGAGTACCTGACGATCCCATTATATATGTACTTGTACTGATACTACTAAGAATACTGTTAATATTGTATATTTAACTCTAAATAGAGTCTGTCTCGACCATTTTCATTACAACATATTGCTCAGTTAATGCATCAGTAATGATAATAAACATAAACGTCTGACTGAGCCTTTAAACTAAACGAGTATCCCTCTGGCTTTATGAGAATTTTCCTGATAAAATACTGTATGTTGTTTTATTTAAATATATCTTCACAGCAGCAGCAGCACGTTGCACCATCTTTGGGGAGTAAGCACTTCCAGCAGAAGACACTAAATATAAAATATAAAGCGATGCCAGCAGCAGAAAGTTTAACGTCATCAGCATAAAATACATACACAGAAAAACAACACCGTGCTGTCAAGAAGCATCCAAACGAAATATTTGAAAACAGCTGTGCAAACACACATTACACAGGTGATGTCACCAGAATTAAAGAAGAGGAACACAACAGTTTGATGTATGACTGTTCATCACTGAAGTTAGAAATGATATGCCTGCATGTGGAACATTTTCCCTCTCATCATACACATGCTCACATGCAAAAAAAAAAGCGTCCACATTGTTAGCCTCCTGTGTTTCTCCTCATGTGGCCTACAGATTACATACTACTACTTTTGGCTTGAATGATATAGCACACATCTCGGCGTTCAGTAAATCTCATAGTAGGGCTGCTTGCTAACACATATGGGAGCTGCAAAGTGTACGGTAAGATGCGGAGTGACTAGTATTTATTGGTTAAATATCCAGATGGAGCCACACAGGAAAGAGCCAGAACAAGAAGTCAGTCTCTCAGTACTTGACTCTGTCCCGAGATGTTCTGAGCTGCTGTGTGCAGACAACGACGGAAATACCGATTAGTAGCAGATGGTGTCATCCAGGGTGCAAGGCATAAACTATGGGTGCTTAACACTCTGATAAATCAGCACAAGGCCCTCATGAAGGTAGCGGGAAAAAATGGGGAAAACAGAAGTGAGAAACATGAGACGCCAGATCGCTCTACAAGACTGGACCCCCGTTGAGCCTTTGGAATTCCTTCAAACAGTAACTCAATCCTGATATGTAAAAATAGAATAGAAAGATCAGTTTGTTCGGTCCAGTCCTGACTCCCGTTCGTCTTCTTCAACAAATCAAAGCCTATTTGAGGCTAAAACAAAATGCTGCATGATGAGATTTTTCAATAAAGTCCAAGAACCAGTTTGAAAGTCTCCAGTAAGCCAAGGTGGAAAGGCAAGACGAGATGTTTTGGCGTCTTGAGTATAAACTGTTTGGTCTCTGCTCATTTCTGATATTCATTGACTCACCTCATCAACCTTTCCTCTGCACTTTAACAACAACCTCTACCATTAGGAAATTCCTTCATTTTATGACAGAATCTATTTCCTCGCTCAGTGATTTTTATGCTTTCCTCTGTAATCATGTTGAGGAATTAACAGCACATGTGGTGGTGTTCCCCTTCAGTGAGCTATTGTGATTGATGCACACGTTTGTTTGTGTAGCCTGTTTGTTTATTGTTCTGCTTTTGATTTTCTAATGTGGAATTAATATAATAAAACCAATACTTTGTTAGTTTACTGAAATTTAGTTTTCAAGCATCTGTGTTGATTTTTCTAACTTTGGAGATTAACTCTGAATTCAACAAAAAGCATCAGCTTGTTTCATGTCTTACTTTTTATCTCTTTTAACTTACACACAGGTTTCCTTCAATGCATACAAGTTACATTAAGGTTCCACAGCTTCAGGCGAGGACGCTTGGGATCATGTCAGTGCACTCGACTTGCAGCTTGATGGGCGTTTACTCACTGAAAAGTGGGCTTGTTCCATTCTCTACCTCTCCAGCCACTCTTGATTGCCAAGTTTTTTTGCTGTAGTTAGAATTGAGCTCTGGTCCCTCTCAAAACTCGCCACAACGATCCTAGAATGAACTGTGTGACAGCCTCTCCGGCTCTCGATAGGAAATGAATATAAAGCGCTGAGACGCTATCCGTCGTCGGAACCAGTGGAGCTGTACGGTTAGGACGTGATACGATACAAAATGATGCAATGCAATGCGATACGATACGAAACGGTAAAATATCTATTGTTTTGTATCATATATCGGTTGAAATTGGCAATAATGCTTGAAAGACAGCTGCAATGATACGATACATGACCAACAGGGAAACACCCCGAGAACAGCCAACCTACGCTCTCAGGTGCCGGTTGGTTGCAGGACCATACAATGCATATGTGTTGTGTTGTTTTGTATCGTATTGTGATGGTTAAAATCGGCCATGATGCTTTGAAGGATTTGCAGTGATGCAAAATACAAATAGTAAATCATTCTTCTTATATACAGTATATTGAAGCTAACCTAACAAGTATGTTCCGCCATGATGCTTGGGAGGATATGATACCAAACCATACAATACACTTGTATTGTACCCAACCGGAGGGAAATAACAGAGAAAAGACGATTTCTTGATGCACCAACTCAAAGGAGCAAAGTAAATGTTTGTTTTTACAAGTAGAAAAGATTTTATTTTGTTCTGTTTGAAATCAGAGCAATTAAAGTTAAAAAATAACAGCCAGAAATATCCATCAGAGGGATGGTTTTTAGTGTTATAAAAGTCTGATCTT